TATACAAAATCATACATTAATGTATTTTCCTTAAACAAATTAAGATTAATGTACTTTCCAAAACCGATATTGATGGTTTAATTTGGTAGATTTCGAAATAATATATATGGAAACTGGTATTTAATATCTTTAAATTTTTAGTAAGATCCAATTGAAAAATTTCGGGTTAACTTTTTAAAAAAACCCGACCCAAGAAACTTTTGTACTTCTCTTTTACTATAGTAGGGATAATGCGTAATCTAAGAAAGCCTATTTATAATTAAAAAAATATATATATATATATAGTGATGTGGGGAAAATCATGTAAAACCTATATAATTATGGATTAAGAAGAGTCTAACATCAAACTTTATTGAAAAGCCGAAAAAAGAAACACATTCACAAAGATGGAAAACTAAAGTACTTATCAAAGTTGTGCCAATTCTGGCGATAGGTAGCAGTCCAAATCATTTGAGCTGATCAAGCTTATTCAATACCTTCTTCTTCTTCTTCTTTTTCTTTTAATTAGCAAGGATTTATTATCAGAATTGTCAATTTCAAACACACTTTTTCATTAGAAGAACTTTTAGCTTTTCTTTTATAAAAAAATAATAACAGTAATTTAGATTTTATAGTTAACTACTATTAGAGAGGATAATTTAACATACTTAAAAAAAAAACAAGAAGGCATATAAACATGCGACAGGTGTTTGATGGAGTAATGAGTTTTGCCCATATCTTCGGAGTTAGTTTAACTCTTTAAAAGGGGTTAGGCCAGGTAAGCGAATCTTTTCACCTGTGATGTGTGGTGTTTGGGGTCATAGATGAGATGTCGAATTTACATTGGTTGGAACAAGGTTAGATTCTTTGGTTGATGGGACACGTGGTTAGTTGTGTATGGTGGGAAGTGGTACGATTTGGTGGAGACTTCAAAAAGACGGTACGAGAACGAGACCACACTTTCTTAAGCCTCAGGCTACATTACATATATGGCTCTGTGTGTCTCTGTGTGACACCACCACCCACTTCATATATTATATAAGCAACTTATTTTATTTTATTTTGTATTTCTTTTATACAACCAAAATGTTTAGGATCTTTAAAACCAAAAAGCTTTATTTATTTTCTTTTTCTATCATGATTTATTTTAGATTTTATAAGAAAATAAGAGGAGGTAAAGAGATGATATATATATGAAGAATGGTGGACTTTGAGTCCTATGAACAAGAAGTGGATATATATATAAATAGTACAAGTGAATGAGTGTGATAAATGTATTTTACAAACCGTTTTATACATAAAATTCAAAGTTATGCTATTAAAATTTTGAGAAAAATGTAAATTTCTAGGACTAGAAAAATAGAAATTTGTTATTTCATTTGTAAATCTAAATACATTCTCATGTGATTTTTTTATAATTTATTTATCTACTTTAAGAGAAAGATTATGTTGTCATCCGCTATTGGTTTAGATGAGTCCATCTAAAAAGTGTAATGGAACTCTTTTTAAAAAATAAAAATAAAATGATAAATGGCTTCGCCCGGGTTCGAACCGGAGACCTTCAGTGTGTTAGACTGACGTGATAACCAACTACACCACGAAACCTTTGTTGTTACACTGTGACTAATCATTTTACTTAACGTAGTATTTACTTGCAAAAACTTACTCGCCTCTCTCTCTATCTTTTTTTTTTTTTTGGAAACTAAAAACATATTCTGGAATCCTCTCTCTCTATCTGAACTGTCGATCTCTGAGTTTTCCGATCACCATGAGTAAGGGTCCGGGACTATTCTCCGACATCGGAAAATACGCGAAAGGTATGAGACTCTTCTATTCTTCTGATTTCGAGTAGATTTAGCGATGTAGTGAGACGCTAGTCAGTGTGCGTTAATGTGAAATGTGTTTTTTTTTGGATTTTTCGCGTTAAGTTGATTTCGGTAGGTTGAGAATCATGTTTCGTAAGCTGAATAATTGTGTGTGTTTTCTTCTTTTTTTTGTGTTAGATTTGTTGACGAGAGATTACAGTACCGATCAGAAATTCAGTATCTCCACTAACAGTATCTCCGGCGTTGTAAGTCTACTACGATTCACAATGTGTCTACGTTTTTGTAATCTGAAATCGTCTTCTTCGTAGATACTACTTAGTTTCGCATTTATGAATCTGTAGCTTATGTTTTGGCCACGAAAGAATTGTTCTAATTCTTCTTCACATTCCTGTGGGACTTGACTCGTCTTGTTGGTTTGTATGATAGGTTCTAGTATTCGTTCACATGAATTCTATCTATGCACTACCTGCTGTTTTTGACGATTCAATGAGCGAATCGTTGAGAATTCTCTAGCGCATTTGAGAGACAGGACAAGTTTAGGATGAGATAGTTTAGTAGTATGTGTTATAGAAGTCAAGTTATGAGTTAATGTAGTGTGTACCTGTGATTCTGCTCCTGATGGATTCTACTGCATTAGCATTGTATAATCATTTCTGTGACTTGAGTCATTGGTATCTACTACTTCTGTGATATGTTCTGGAGTTTAGCTATGAGCTTCCTAAAAAACATCTTTTTGGAAATTTACATTTTGTGGCTTCAGAAGCAGAAGGATATGTAGAATGGAATATGGATTATGAGCTACATAACTTGCTTTGTTTACTTTGCCTGGAAAGGCTCAAGTGGTTGGGATCTATTGACCCTTCTCTTCTGCTGTTTTATGATAGGCTGTTACTTCCACTGCTTTGAAGAATGGAGTACTACATGCTGCTAATATTGCCACACAATACAAGTACAGAAACACTTTGTTCGATGTCAAAATCGACGCTGATTCGAATGTAAAGCGTCGTTTATCCAAAAAAAAACAAATGTCTTAAAAGATCGCACTACTAAGTTTGCAAAGCCATGTTTTTAATCTCTTCTTTTTTACCGGGACAGATCCTGACAACCATCACGTTCACTGAGATCCTCCCATCGACAAAAGCCATTGCCTCCTTCAAAGTGCCTGATTACAACTCAAGCAAGGTTTTACAATTTACAATTTCTTTTACCTAATATATGGATATGTTGATTCTTATGCATTCTGAATTGAAAACCTTACTATGATTTACAGCTGGAGGTCCAATACTTCCATGATCACGCAACAGTTACAGCTGCTGCAGCTTTACAAAAAAAACCCTCTAATTGATGTAACAGCCACACTAGGTTCAACAACTATCTCATTTGGTGCTGAAGCTGGATATGACACCACATCTCGAACTTTCACAAAGTACAACGTCGGAATCAGTGTCACAAAGCCAGATCAGTGTGCCTCCGTAATAATGTAAGATAAAAAAGCTCTTATTGATCAAAATTCTATGTAAGCTTAATTTCTATGATCTGAATCTTTTCTTGGACAATTTCAGTGGAGATAAAGGAGATTCAATCAAAGCTTCTTATCTTTATCACCTAGATGAGTCGAAGAGAAGCGCAGCAGTTGGAGAGGTTTACAGGAAAATATCAACGAACGAGAACACAGTAACTGTAGGTGGATTGTATGCGGTTGATCACTTGACTAATGTGAAAGCTAAGCTGAACAGTAACGGTAAGCTTGGAGCTCTTATGCAACATGAGGTCCTTCCGAAATCGTTAGTGACTATCTCAGGTGAGATCGACACCAAGACATTAGACAAGTACCCAAGGTTTGGTCTCTCGCTTGACCTGAAACCTTGAAGAGCTACACATGGACACTACCCTTTTTTTCTCTCGAATGCCATTGTTGACACTTGAGTTTGATGTCGTGTTTTGAATAATGAATCCCTCAGGTAATGGTACTACTGTCAATATAATTGTTTTTCGGAGTTGTTTTCGTTTTGGGCTCACGCTTAATGGAAACGGTTAGTTATATCATATTCTTTTCCGAGGGAAGTTATTTTGTTTTTGTTTAGTTACGAGATACAAACCACATGCGCGCTGCTAGAATCTCTCAAAGACTTGAGTTGATGTCATGCTAGAATAAGAAAACAATCAGGGAAGAAATGAAAATGATCTTTAATCTACGCGTCAGATGCAAAACTAGGTCGGATAATTGTTTATCTAAGATTTGTTTTTGTTTGGCTTATTTTAATATCACACATTTGTTTCTCTTCGGCATGATATTTTCATACCTTTTATTTTTGTTTTAAAGTCTGCTTGATTCAGCACAAAGGAGAACAGAAGGTTTTGGGAGTACATTATAAAACGAAACAATATGATTTGTCATTTATCAGAGTGATAATTCTTTAAAATCCACAATTACAAATGAAAACCATCTTTCAAATTGCAAAATTCAAAACCACAAAATTATTCCTCGAAAATGGTGTTGAGAGACAAAGATTTTTAGAAATGGTATCCATAGACGAAATGACATGATTCTTTCGAAATGACATGATTCATTCCAATATTTTTAAAATGTAAACCACAATCCAAAATGAAACTTCAAATGTTATACTACTAGCCTAAATCAAGAACACCAATCTAGAATCAGCTAAGCTATCCAAATCAACAACTCATATTTCAAACCACCAACCAAACGAGCCACATTCATCAAATCTACAGTCCTACATAGTAAACCAAAAAGTATTCACATAACTCACAACCCACATTCATCAAAAACTCAACCAAACAAACACAAACCATATAAAAGCAACGCATAAAAAAAATAGGCAAAAGAGACAAAAACTCCATAACCAAACTTCAGATATCCAAAATCAAAACATAATCCGTTGTCATGTCCAAGACCATAAAGAAACATTCCAGAAAAACAAAACTTACGATAAAAGAGCAATTGATAAAATAACTAAAAGACGAAACCTTTTTCTTCAGTGAAAAAGAAGCTCTAATCACTTAATCAACGTTCTGCATAACATCCTCAGAAGTGAACTTGGTACCCTTCTCCTTATCAGCAGCAGCACGACCCTTTGCCTTCCTCTCCAAAAGCGATTTCCTATCCTTATCAAGACGGAGCTTAGTAATCACCACCTTCGACGGCTGAATCCCTACGTTCACGGTGGTTCCGTTCACCTTCTCCCTCGTGATCCTCTCGATGTGAATCACCCATTTGCGACGGTACACCTGAACAACCTTTCCCTCACGTCCCTTGTAGGTACCACGAACGATCTGGACCTCGTCGTCTTTGCGGATCGGCATGGATCTGACGTTGTACTTCTGGCGGAGGTCGGCGGAGAGAGCTGAGCTCATTATTACACGCCTCTCGCTTGACGACGCCGTGAAATGAGCCTTCCTGTTCTTCCTCCGGGATGAGGTCACGCGTGGGTTGTACTTCATTTTCGCCGCCGGGGGGGTTTTGTGACTCTCTTCTAGGGTTTTTTTTTCGAGTGAATGAGGAAGAGACGTAGGGTGATAAGAACGCTTATATAGTCTGTGCAGAGCTAGGTTTAGTTTGGAACTCTGGGCTTTCTTTCTTAATGGGCTTGGGCCGGTTTCTTATTTTGTTTTAAAAGTTTTTTAGTGGGCTGACCTGTACTCTTTTTTAACCCGTTTTGTCTAACTCTAGTTGTGTCATGCAACAATTTAGACAAGTTTTATATCATGCGATTTAGATTTTGGTGAAAAAGAAGAGAAACAAAAACATAAAGTTTGAATGATATATATTGAAATACCATAGTTTATTATATCTTTGTTAATTTCACAAAAAAAAAAATATAGACGTTCCTATACATATAAGATCACAAATTATGGAGAAGAAAAAAAAGATGTGTCACTGGAATTGGACTATGTCTTGAATTAGCCGATCAAGCTCATTTCTTTAGGATAGTTTGTAGGAGTAAATTGATATAAAACAATCCATGGTTATCACCAAAACGAAAAGTTTACTGATAAGAAAAATACACATATACAATTCAAGTGAAGTAAACCTAATTGAAATCTTGTGAAAATTTGAATGATAGAACTTAGAACCAATATGTACACATTTGTAACACATGTGGACGTGGTCCATCTAGTAGTATACACAGAAGGTTAATGAAAAAAGGAAAAAAACGCATTTAAGGACTTTCACGCATATAACAACGATCACAACAAATCCTTTTATTTCCTCTATTGCTAACATTTATTGCTCTTATTCACTCACTGTGCATTGTGTTTCCTTCTTCTTTACTTTACTCTCTCAAAAACCTAACCGGCGATTTCGAATCTTCTTCTTAAGAGAGAGAGATCACAAAAATATTCTCATTCTCTCTCAAAACAAGAAAAAAAAAAAAGAAGAAATAAAACAATGAAGCGATGGACAAACTTAGGGTTTGTGGATACGATATATGAAGAAGAAGACTACGTGGATCACTCTTCTTCTTTCTCTACTTCTTCATCATCTTTGTCTCTTTCTCCTCGACGTCGTTGTCTCAATCTCTCTTCTTCTTCTTCTCCTTCTATGGAGCTTGAATCTAGAGTCCATAAATGGTTATCTTCTTCCTCTTACCAAATCTCTTACCACATTATTATATATTAATTTCCTTTTTTGTTTTCTTTCTTTTTGGTGTTAATTATATATTTCTTATTCAGGTCGTTGGCTAATAACTCAAAACCGGATGTGTTCGTAAATGTGGGAGGCACAAGGTTCCATCTTCACAAGGTTAGGTTACATATCCTTTTTTTTCTCCAAACTTTTATTTGCCAATTTCAGACATTTCTCAATTTTCTTCAAAAAAAAAATCAAAACAAATTCACGATTTATAACGATTTTTTTAGTTTATTTAATAAAATAATACTCCATATATTTGTTATTTTAAATTTTTAAAAGTTACACATTTATTACATATAAATAAAAAGGTTTGGTTTTTATTGGGAGGTTTCTTATTATTATGTTATGTGATGTGTTTAATAATTTATCCCATAGGATCCTCTGTCAACAAGGAGTGGCTATTTAAAACGCCACCTAACGGGCGTTAAAGAATTAACTCTCTCACCGCCGTTTAATATAACGGCTCAAACGTTTTCGTTAGTTGCCGGTTTCTGTTACGGTGCTCACGTTGAACTAACGCCGTTCAATGTCGTTTCTTTGAGAATCGCCGTCGAGGTTCTTCTGATGACGACGGAAGCTGGAGGAGACGGCGGAGGCAGAGAGAGTTTGAGGAACTTGACGGAGTCTTATCTCCGACGAGTCGTCTTCGTCAACGCTGATTACATTCAGATCGTTCTCCGTTCGTGTCTTCTTCAGCTCCCGGAGTCTGAAACGGCGGCGTTTTTGATCGGACGGTGCGTCGAAGCTTTGACGGAATTTGGAGACGTTGACTGCGTTAACGAGTTTCTTGAGGAAGCTGTTAGACTTCCCGCCGGCGATTTTAGCGTCGTCGCTGACGCCGTGCAGGAGCGCTTCCCGCGCCACGATTTGCTCTACAGAATCGTTGATGCTTACCTTAAGGTAAAGGGTAGTTTCGTCATTGTAAAATCGATTTTAACTGATTAGTCTACGTGTCATGTAACGATTGGATGTAAATTTTTGAATTTTGGCAGGAACACGACGGAGAGATCACGGAGGAAGAGAAGGTTCGGATATGCAATTCGATAGACTGTGACAAACTCTCTCCGCCGTTACTACTTCATGCTGTTCAAAACCCGAAAATGCCCCTGAGGTTTATCGTACGAGCGATGCTGCAAGAGCAGCTCAACACGCGCCACTCGATCATGGCTGCTGCTGCAGTCGCCTCTACTTCTCATGTTGGAGGCCGTGACCGAGAGATTGCGGATGCGAGAGACTCCTCAGTGACGCTCGGGTCGCTTCTCCAGCGGGACACGGCGGCGAGGCAAAACTGTCGGCTAAGAGCTGCGATGAATTCCACGAGCTCGAGGATAGAGAGCTTGGAGAAAGAGCTCGACGCGATGAAGAAATTCATATCGAAAGAATCAGAGAAGCAGAAATCGGAAAAGATCATCATCGAGTCGAGGTCAAGAAGCGTCATGGATTCTGCTCGATCAGCGAGTTTCCATTGCGTACAGCAATCGAGTAATGTAAACAAGACACAGAGAGGCGAAAGAGGATCAGTTTCAAACCTGAGCACGACGTTCCAGCGAAGTAGAGCATCTCCTCCGCAACCGAAACCACAGAAAAGTCTCGGTAAAAAACTGATTAAGGGAATAAAGAATGCTTTCTCTACATCCAACAAACAAGGAGCCAAGAAAAATGCATATGTAGTCGAGGAGATTTATGATGGACTAGAAGATTTTGTCTGGATTAAAGACGAGGATGATGAAAACATTGCTGAAGAACTTCACTCTCACTACATGAAGAACAAATAGTCTCTCTACATAACAATTTCAAAAATTTCGTAACCTTCTTTCACTAAAAGTTTTCTAGCCTGATTCTGTGTTTCTTCTTCAATTAAATGAGACTCCAAAACTAATAATAAGTTCAAAAGAAGAAAGCTCGATGGACCTTCACGACATTGCAGACTAATATCTCGCATATTTTTCACGCTGCATATATATAGCGAGATTGGTTAGCTGATATGTTTACTAGTACTAGTACTAGCACAAGAATGAAACAAAAATATGTGAAACCATATATAACTTACCTTCATTTCCTTTTTCATTATCCTTGCAACAGAAGGTAACCATTGTTCTCCTCTTACTTTCTTCAATTCTGCAATTCTCTCTTCCTCTTTCTTAGCTTTAGCTTTTGCTGCCGCTTCTTTCGCCTCTAATCTAGCGGAGGCTTTCTTAGCCGCTTCACTAGCAGAAGTTAAAATATCCGACCCATCAACAACAATAGAGTTTATCCGTTTCTTAAACTGCGGTAACACAGAAAACAGAAAGAAATTAGCTATGATAGATTCATAATCAATTCAAAACAGAACAATGCTTGTAGCGAAAACAGGATTAATAACCAACCTCTTTAGAGTTTCCTTCAACTCCACTTTCAGGGCGTAAATTAGGCCTCTTTTTGGGTCCTTTAATCTCATCTGGTTAACAAGAAAATCACGAAAATAAGTTTCCTGAGGGATTCATAACAATCATATGATTCAAGATTCAGATGTGGATTCTGGAAAGAGAGCAAGCAGTGATGACTAACCTACATGATCAAAGATTATGCCAGTTGCACAGCGCTTAAATAACCGAACTCCACAGTCGTCCTCCTCGGGTTTATCCTCAGGAACATCGATAGGATCTTTCACAAAGTCTAAACTCTTCTCCACCATTTCATTCAAAAGGTTCTTAACCTGTTTTCAAGCTTACCTAAATTAGCAACAATACTCAACTTGATAAAGCAAATACCTAACTAGTAATGAACAACGACTCAGACAGACAAAGTAGTAGACACCATGAACACCCAAAATACTGATCACTCAAATACAAATTGAGCTCATTCGACAATTTAGTGCAATTAGAACCCAATGACAAAGACTCTTCTCAACTTCATATTAACAAATCTTCTACAAGCAATAAAAGTATAATTGCCAACAACAGAGCTATCAGTAGATGAAATTAGCATTGGTTAACGCTCTGCGGTACTCTAATGACTAACCTTCATCTGACCATGTGTTAGCTTTTTAGGTTTTTGACGAAAATCTCCGTTTCCATTTGTCTGAGCATCTGCCGGTTTCGTGGCGGAGGCGCCGTAAACGGTGGTCGTGGCTATCGAATTGATTGCAGCTTTCCACTTGGGATCTTCCTCCTCGCTGCTACTATCTGATCCACTTCTTTCTCGATCAGCCATTTCAACTCCGTCGTCGTGAAATCTCTCTACTTTTTCTCTCCGTCTCTCTGCCTCACGGCGATATCTCCGGCGGAAGAACGACGACAAGGGTTTATTGCGGGTGACCTAATTTTAAAAATAGGTAAAACTAAAACCCTGTTTCCGGATTCGGGTCGGGTCTAATTTGAAGAAGGACAAAATAAAATTTTCCGGATTCGGGTCGGAGCCATAAGGGAAAAGAAAGGACGGGTCGAGAAAGTAATAGAACTGTGTCCTAAAGTAAATGTAACATAACAGAAGTCATACACTATCCTCAAAGTGATCTGTATTCACAATGGCCTATTGAGTCTCTCTTTTTCTAACCTGTATAAACGAAAACATAGCAGCACAACAACAACAACAACCATAACAATGAGCAGCAGCACAACAGAGGAAAGGAAGAAGAAGAAGAAGTAACAGGTGAAAAAGACTATGAAAAGCTTTGTTTTTCTTTCTTTCTAAGCAATCTTCTTCTCTTTTGCTGAAGGTAATCGCCATTGTCTATGCCAATATACAGAAACTCTCGACCACATTGGAAACCCGAAATTATACTCAAGAGGATGATCAGCCGGTCCACCGATTATCAACGGTAACCATAAATATCTCGAGTCTCTCAAATCTGCTGGATTCCACCTATCCGCCATAAATATAAACACACCAGGAACACCTGGTAACGGAATCACAAACGTGCTCTGCGCGAAAAACGTCGTTGACCGGAAAATACTGTTCCCGCCTACACATGGATTCCCCAATGTCTCCCATGGACCCATTATCGACTCAGCGGCGTGAGCCAGTGCTTCGTTTGGTGCCCATCCAGTGCAACCAGAAGTGATCATGTAGTAAGTGTTTTGATGTTTGAAGATAGCCGGAGCTTCTCTGTGTTGCCCCACCATGATTCTCTTCATTACTGGCTCCACATCGAGGTAGTTTTTGGTCAGAGGACCGATGTGCAGCACGCTGTTGTCCTCTGATGAATATATCAAGTAGGCGATGTTATCATCATCTTTGAAGACGGTCATGTCTCTACTGTCGAAACCGTGTGGCGATTTGCTGTACAAGTAATTGAATGGACCTGTTGGGTTATCGCTAATGGCTACACCAACTGAAGCTTTAGTGTAGTTTGCATCGTCGATATGCATCCACATCACGTATTTCCCGGTATCAGAATTGTAGATCACTTTAGGCCGCTCGAGTACATTGGATGTGTGTAAGTCATGTGTCTCATCTGTTTCTTCGGCTGCTAATACAACGCCTTCGTTTTTCCATGTCCATAAGTCTTTCGACGAGTAACATCCAACACCGATTATATCAACCTGAAACAAATCCAAGAAAACTGTTTTCACATTCTGATTCAAAGTTCCAAGATTGAGACATTAGCTGGAGAAAAGCAAGAAAAGGTAAACTTACTCTAGCAGCTCCTTTCTTGTGAGAAAGATAAGTTGGTCCATCTTTGTATTCACCATACCAATAGTAAACCTTAGATATATCATCATACAAAATGCCACCGCCGTGTGCTTGAATCGGATTCCCTTCAGTATCTGTCCAAATTCTCCCGGGGAAATAGTAATGGGATGTATCATTAACCTCACCCTTGGTAGGACCATAAGCGGACTTCATATCGGGAAAGAAAAGATGTCGAATCTGAGAATTCTCGTCGAGAAACTCTTCGACTAAAGTGGTTGGTCTTTTCGGTTTTCGTTTGATAGCTCGCGGAGAACGCTTCCTAGGAGGCGGCATATGAATATTCTCTTCTTCAACCCGCTCGAGCTCACGGACAATGGGATGGTGGATTAGTAACTGAGGTGAAACTTCAAGATCTACACTATATCTTCTGCTATATAACATGGTTAGATGTATCATGAAAACACATCCAACAACTGCTGACACTAAAGTAAAAGGTGAACAACGCAAAGACGCTGCTCTCTTGTTGTATTTGTTCTTCATCGTCCTCATCTTTGTTCCAAGATCTATCTCCACTATACACAACCTATGTAGATTCAACACATAAGTATCCATAATCCAAAGATACTAGTTTAAGTACAACTGTTACATAACAATTAATGAAGTGATCTAAATAAGCAAAGTAGATTTTTTTTGGCCCTAATTAGGCTTTTGAGAGATTACAAATGTTTCCACTGTCACAGATTTTGGCTTCCACATGAGCAAATACTTAAACTGGTTTAAGAGAATCATCCGATTTGAGGAGTTACAATAATGCTATGTTCATCAATTAAGCAACTTAATTAGAAAAGAATAAGCATAATTTCTGATACTAGATCCCAGATAGACAGAAACTAAACCCTAAAGACAGCTAATTTCCAGCGGAAGATAACAGAAAAAAACAAAAAGTTCAATAAAAAAATTAGGAGACAGGATCTTACCTGAATGACCAGCCGGAGCCGAAGTTTCCGACATGTAATGAGAGTCTCAAATAGCTTAACTTGCTCCAAAGTAAACAATGTCTGAAGAAAACAACAAATTTTGATATACAATTTGGTTTCAGATTGTCCGGAGAAGAAGCTCGAACCTGGGAACGTAATTACGGAACCCAGAAGTAAATGAGTAAGGAATTGGGTGAAATAAAGAGATGGGTTGGTGAGTTTTGGTTAAGAATGATCTGTCACGGGAACAAAGAGAGGTCTTGTGATGATGATGGTGATTCAGACGTGCGACCAAAAAGACGAGACCGCTGCTACTTCCTTTACTCGTCTGATGAGTTTTTCTGTTTTTTTTTCTCTATCTTGGGATCTTGTCGCGCTGTTTTAATTTTATTTAATCTCATTTAAGTAATCTAATGATTGTTTTGCTTATATATTTTCTCCTTGACTACATCTAGGATTCGTTTAATGCTAATTATTTACCATTTCTAAAATAAAATAAAAATACATTGTAATAAATATATATATATATATATATATATATATATATATATAG